CCGTCTCTAACCATTCGATAAAATCATCGGGGTCGTCCTTGCCATCAAAGGTTGGGATTTCAACCTTGAAACTAGCGGAGGACTTCTCTTGGTTGTCCTTTCGTATGGAAGAGGAAGGAGTTTCTGCATGGGCCTCTTCTTCTTGCTCGTCTTCACTTTCCTCGGGTGTCTCCGTCATCTTCAACTTCATTTTAGTGAGTTGAGCCACTTGTTTGGCCAAATACTCAACTTGAGCTTTGAGTTCGGCATTGGATGCAACCAGGTCTTCCTTGGTGATGTTTTGGGAGGTGTGAGACATGTTTTGAACTAGGAAGTGAAAGAGTGAAGGTAGGCCAGTAGCTAGGATGAAGGAATTGGGGAGGGGAGAATGTTTTGGACGAAATGAGGATGAAGGAAAGGAGAAAGAGTGGAAGTGTGTTCTTGGTCCTTTGGGATCTGGGAACAAAGAGCTCTGATACCAGATGTTATACCCGAACCCGGGGTCTTATCATGTAGATAATTTGAGAGCGGGATTACGGAGGAATTGGTAGCAAACTAGAACAACCTTTAAACTTCAGGAATGCCAGATAGTCGATTGTCACAATTGTGATAATCGATTATTGGTTGTTTGGTTGAACTTCAGGAATGCCAGATAGTCAAAGACGCGTTCACCCGTCTCTAACCATTCGATAAATACATCGGGGTCGTCCTTGCCATCAAAGGTTGGGATTTCAACCTTGAAACTAGCAGAGGACTTCTCTTGGTTGTCCTTTCGTATGGAAGAGGAAGGAGTTTCTGCATGGGCCTCTTCTTCTTGCTCGTCTTCACTTTCCTTGTGTGTCTCCGTCATCTTCAACTTCATTTTAGTGAGTTGAGCCTCTTGTTTGGCCAAAAACTCAACTTGAGCTTTGAGTTCGGCATTGGATGCAACCAGGTCTTCCTTGGTGATGTTTTGGGAGGTGTGAGACATGTTTTGAACTAGGAAGTGAAAGAGTGAAGGTAGGCCAGTAGCTAGGATGAAGGAATTGGGGGGGGGGGGAGATGGACGAAATGAGGATGAAGGAAATGAGAAAGAGTGGAAGTGTGTTCTTGGTCCTTTGGGATCTGGGAACAAGAAGCTCTGAAACCAGATGTTATACCCGAACCCGGGGTCTTATCATGTAGATAATTTGAATGCGGGATTACGGAGGAATTGGTAGCAAACTAGAACAGCCTTTAAACTTCAGGAATGCCAGATAGTCGATTGTCACAATTGTGATAATCGATTATTGGTTGTTTGGTTGAACTTTAGGAATGCCAGATAGTCAAAGACGCGTTCACCCGTCTCTAACCATTCGATAAAATCATCGGGGTCGTCCTTGCCATCAAAGGTTGGGATTTCAACCTTGAAACTAGCGGAGGACTTCTCTTGGTTGTCCTTTCGTATGGAAGAGGAAGGAGTTTCTGCATGGGTCTCTTCTTCTTGCTCGTCTTCACTTTCCTCGGGTGTCTCCGTCATCTTCAACTTCATTTTAGTGAGTTGAGCCACTTGTTTGGCCAAATACTCAACTTGAGCTTTGAGTTCGGCATTGGATGCAACCAGGTCTTCCTTGGTGATGTTTTGGGAGGTGTGAGACATGTTTTGAACTAGGAAGTGAAAGAGTGAAGGTAGGCCAGTAGCTAGGATGAAGGAAATGGGGGGG